TAATTTGTTTATTGAGAGATAGTTTGCTGTCTATGATCAACAATGTTGAAAAAAAAAAACAGAGTTAGAGGAGATGAGTCTACTTACAACGTAGAGATATTCCATGCCCTCCATTTTTCTGGCAAACTTGATTGCCACCTGATCAACAAAACAGAATATAACAGTTAGCACTGGATTACATCAGACCATTCAATAATCCTTGTTGAAATTCTAGTCATGAATTTGTAGCATGTTTGGTCAGGTTGGCCATTTATCAAGGGCTCTAGTTGTGTAACAAAATACAAAGCATAACACATAAATATAGTTTGTTAGGTTGATTATGCAAAAATATATATAAATATACCGGAAGACCATCATGGGCGCGGACACCAGCATATACGGCACCAAATCCTCCTTCTCCCAGTAGCTCACCCATGTTGTAGGTCCAGCACATGCCTGTTCAAATATAATTAGTTTTAGAGACAGATTCATATTCTACAATGCAAAAGTAAAACGTTATTACCACTTTATACACCATTACGTCACTAATACATAATGCACAAACATCTAATCCTTTCAAAAAGTGAAAGCATCAAGCAGCCATAATTAATATGAACTTACTCCCAATAATCAAGACCATGTCTTGGCTTGGGTTTTCTGCCAGAGGACACACAGTTTCTTCCTCTGACAGATCATCTGGAAACTCCTGGATTTGCTCGTCAACAGTGAAGAGAGGAATCTCAAAACTACTGTTGGGAGTGTTCTGAGGACCATAACTCTCTACAGAAGATATGGTCTCCACTGAAGTTGGATCTGGAAAATATAACAATTATATATAAACACACAAACATTTCAATACTGCTACAAATAATACATTTATAGCATTTACAAAGACAAAACTGAAGAGTTCAGATACACAAACATCTGCACATCTGAACATTTGAACTCTGCAAATGTTTAAAGCTATGATGATCTTCTTTAATGATTAAGTTCAGTAAACACAAAAGATGAAGAGATTTACCATCAGTAGACATTTCTTCCTCCAGCTCCACATTCTCACACTGTTCCTGTATTTGCAGGTCAATGATGGAGGAAGGAACCTCAAGGCTGTTAGGAGCTTGCTGGTTGTCATTATGCTCAACAAGGCTTGAGATGTTTCCTACTGAGGTTTGATGTAAAGAGGGGAACATACATTCAACATTTACTTTAATAAAAACACACAGAAACGTTTCAATCCTTTTACAAATACATATATTTGCAGAGACAATATTTTAAAGCTATGGTGATCATTTCTCCAGTCACAGAAAAATTAAAGGGATTTACCATCAGTAGAAGGTTCTGCTTCGGTGACTGGCTTCACCTTCTCACTGTCCACCTGCTCTACCTTTTCACCCCTTCCAGCTCTTGGGCGTGAAAAGCGGAACAGCTTTCTCCAAAAACTCGATTTTTTCTTCACTTTCTTTTTCTCCTTTACCAAACTCCCTCCATCTTCCTCACAAGGAACAACACGGCTCTCATCAAGCTGATGGTTTTCTTGAAGAGGCGTGTCATTATTTAACTGAAGTGGTGTACTAGGATGTAAACTGTACACACACTCCGACTCTGTCGCTATATTCAGACAAGAAATTCGCTGACCCATGATAAAACAAACGCACTGTCTCACTCCAAACTACCCACTAAAACTAAATTACACCGTCAAGCCTTAACATTCTACTTTGACGTTCTAATTATGACATCAAATAAAATGTCCTTGAGATCGATTTGTTTTGTTTTAAAATTTGCTGAACTACATATTGCATACATAATACCTGACAATTCTTATAGTAAATCCTAAAATAAAGCTAAAATAAATATTAAATCATATTATAAATGTAAATCTACTTGTTTTAATACTTGTTCAAGCACTTATATAAATGTTTAATTCCGTACTTCTGCAGTATAATGCTGCGTCGCTAATACTTTCTTATTGGTTGTATTCTCTTTCTCAACCACTTGAGGGCGGCAAATATCATGGTATCTGAACAGAACTGATAGTCCACATTACTTCATGATGTCAGTGGGAGTAGTCTACTTGAAGAGTTTAATTTCTTTTTGTATGTATATTTAAATGTAAGGAATTGAAGACAGAAATGAATTAGAGTAAAGATGTGTGGATGGGATTTAAAACATAATAATCTGAATCTACTAAATCTAGTAGAGGAAACATGCTATTTTCTGTTTTTCCTTTTAGCTTAAAGAACTTGTGTTTTCCAGAAAACAAATTTAACTAAATACAATAGATTTCCAAATGTTTGTTTAAAATATGAAGGTCAGCCTAGTTTTGATCCAACTTGTGATGGGTGACTACAAGCTCCAGCCACTCTTTCTGACATACTTTCTGGCTTTTTTTAGCACTAAGCACTTTTTGGGCATCAATTTTTAAATCAATTTCTAAATGTTTTCTTTTAGATATCAAACCACGCACCCAAATAGCATTATTTAGACGTAACCCTACAAATGTTTTCTTGTCATCTTCACAGTCAAATGCACTTGCTATCTGTTTAATAATTGATAAAAGGCATTTAACACTGAAGTGGAAAAATCCTTCTCCGCCCAGTTATGTGCATTGGATGCATGATCTGATGCAGTCTATTTAAATAGAAAATATTAGGTATACAGATTGCAGTATTAGAAAAATAATTACATGTTTATATATTTGTTTATTTTCTTTTTAAATATTAGTTTATTTTTAAATATTTTTAAAATTATTTTTTAAATTAATTTATTTATTTATTTTTTTTACTGGTGTACCGTTAGCATATTTGTATATTTTGCTATATGGCCTTACATGTGTTACTTTTATCCATAATGTTATTTAATTTATCTTCATTTTATCAGTTGATGTCTTGTGATTCTTTGTATTTAATATTGTAACTCTCTGACTAATAAGCATCAATAAAACAAAGTTAGGCTAAAATAATTTAATAATATAACAAATGTTTTATTTTATGAGAGACTTCACGGCTCTATCACATACAAGAATACTCAAGCTCACTATTTTCCTGTGTTGTCTGAAGGAAATAAAATCAGTATCTTGGCTTGAAAGATTGTCACTATGTTTCTTTTAGAAGGGCTCATCCCTATGGCTTAATCAGCTGATTCTCAACCACATTCCTTTTTATTTTTAAATTATTTTTATTATTCTACTAATACTTCCAAACATGTTTTTTTGTTGTTGATGTGTTGATGCAGATATTGAATTATCTATAGATTAATGCTTCCATCATTTTAAAGACTGACATGTCTCTTTCAGTGACACAAGTCAGCAACCAGGGCATCATGAAACAGTAGTTCCCAACCTTTTTTTGCTTGAGACCCCCTTTTCCCCTGGACATTATTGTAACCCCCCTCCACATTTATTAATATTATAGCTCATATATGTTTGCAGTAGGTATGACAACATTTTTTTTTCAAACAAACAATTTGTTTATTAGTTTATCTAGATTTGTAAAAGATAAATGCAAAATTCAGGTTCCTGGGCACCACCATCTCTCAGGATCTGAAGTGGGACATTCACATAGACTCTATTGTGAAGAAAGCCGAGCAGAGACTGTACTTCCTTCGTCAGCTGAGGAAGTTCAACCTTCCACAGGACTCAGGAGCTGCTCGTACAGTTCTACTCAGCTGTCATTCAATCCATCCTCTGCACTTCAATCACCGCCTGGTTCAGTTCCGCTGCCAAAACCGACCTCTGTAGACTACAGCGAATAGTCCGGACTGCTGAATGTATCACTGACACTACCCTTCCTACTCTTCCAGAGTGAGTAAAAGGGCTCACAAAATCACTCTGCATGCCTCACACCCAGCACACTACCTATTTGAACTGTTGCCGTCTGGTCGGCGCTTCAGAGCACCAAGCACAAAAATCGCCAGACACAGGAAAATTTGCTTTCCTTAGCCTATCTAACTCATGAACAGTTAAATATCCCCCAACAGTGCAATAAATGTGCAATACTTTCTCATACGCACTTGTTCACAGAACCTTATATCAATATACAATGCAATACTTTCTCCATTTGCATTTGTACACATCACCATATAACCAGTGTATTTATAACAAACCTGTACATACAATTCAACATCCAGATTTCTTGACTAACTGCATCTCTGTTTGATGTTTATCGTCTTTCTTTTTTCCATATTTATTTTGTGTTGTCACTTGTCACTTTATGTACACTGGAAGCTTCTGTAGCCAAAACAAATTCCTTGTGTGTGTGAAGCACAAAACTGTTGCACAAAGCAATAAAACTGATTCTGAAAACATCAGTAAGCCATTTGTATTGGGTACGCTTGAGGTATTGGGGAGTCATATGCAAATGTCTTATTAATTTGGACAGCCTCATGCATTTGTTAACAAGAACTTTGTCACAGATATTGCACTGTGGCTGGGTCAGGGACATTTTGGTTCAAGAAAAGATAAAAAAAACATAGTTCAGGTAAATATCTTGGTATTTCCTGCATTTCGTGTTTCCAGTATTGCTAGTGCTGTGACCTGAAATGTTTGGAGCTTCCTCACCTGGGTCCAGGATTCTTGCGTTATTACTATCAGCTGCTAAAGTTGAATCAGAGTACTTATTTTTAAATTTTTTTTTTTTGTGGAAGATGAATTACAAATTTGTCAATTTTTGGTCAGCCAGAAAATAAAATCAACTAAGGCAAATTGATCATTCTCTTATTTGTCCACAGCTAATTATTATTATTATTTTTAAATATGACGTAACCCCCTACAGAGCTTGCTGAGACCCCCTAGTGGGCTGGGACCCCCTGTTGGGAACCTGAAAGAAATATGCATGTACTCAGTCTTCAAATATTCTGTTGTTTTCTAACTGTTTCTTATCTTGTTGTAAGTTGTCCCTGTACTAGGCGCCTTGACGTTGCGCCTTGACATTTTTGAGCACTGGATGAAATTGTTCTGCTTAACTGAGCTAAATATTTGCACATATTCAGAGCCCATGTAACCTTGAGTATGATGTATAAAGGCTGGGAATGCCCCAGTCTTCTTCAGAAGAGAGCAATAAACTGTTGGATTCACATCGCTGTTTTTGTTGCCTTCCTGGAGCTCCTGCTTACTGAGGAAACACACAGATGATCTGCAATTTATACCAACAACCTGGTGACCCTCGACGTGATGAAGCTGATCAGGTAAGACATGAATTTGGTTTTGACTGCCTGATAAGCTTCATTACTAAAGAGTAATCCTTGGCTGGGATTTTCCCTGACAAGCCAAGACGAGCGCGCTATACAAAAGTAGAACGATCATTCTGTGTGTTTTCTAGTAAGTATTTACTAACATGGGTGGTTCATACCCCAAGCCTGAGATAGGGGAAAGCCCTAAAGATTGGATGTCTCGATGTGGGTGGGGATATTACACTAATCCCTGGTTAGATAATCTAGCAGGGTGGACTAAGGCACAAGCGATGCGTCCCTAACCTAGAGATGGGTCATTCGACCCCTATGTGCTAAAACGGGCTCACAAATTAATTTATGAAAGTGAAGGAGATCCCGAATGGGTCTATGATTATATGAGAAAGGGTTATGAAATCTGGATGAAGATGATGAGTGTGTGGAATGACAAACAAAATATTAACCTACCAAAAGAGGTAAAGAAATTAATTCCGAAGGCTCTTAAAGGCTCAGCATCAAAGATTGAGGTAAAAAGAAAGGAGACACCCTTTTGTTGAGATAACAAAAGATTTTTAGTTAAGTTGATTAAAACAATAGCATGGTGGTTACTCGCCGTCGTTCGCATGCGCACAACTCTCCGGAGTCAACAAGGCATTTGAACCACGAGAAGGCAAGGAGCCATTTTCTCTCCTTCAGCGGTGAGCAAGTTTTATGGTACGTTCTTTTTAAAATCAATGTTTTTATGGTCTGAGTTGTCTTAGAGTAATTTGAAGTATTGCCAAAGAAGTTAGCAGTTGTCAAAAACCAAACTTTATTATAATTTTGCCTCAAATTGTGGATGAAAAAAGCCATTAATAGCCTCTGTCACCTGTTCCTTTGAGGCTATTTTAACTTATAACATTTTGAAACTGAACGTTACATACACCATTTAATAAGCCTGTGAAGCATCCGATGTTCTTGAAAATAAATGTAAAAATAATTTTTACATGTTATTTTAATCATGTTGACCGTTGCACAACCTGCCGTTAAACAACACCACACAACTTAACGCCGTCACACGAGAGGGCGCTCTCAGCCTCAACACCCACTAACTTATAAATGGGAGCAAACTTGTCACCTTTCGGCGAACCAAGCCGATCTGTACAAAACAATTGGGAAGAGGCAAGTAAGTCAAAAAAGGTTTGAAGCCACCTGAGAAAAAACAAAACAAGTAACATTTGAAAAATTTAAGTTTGTTCTAACATGCTGAACTTATAATGGGTACAATCTATATTTGTGAGGTGGTATGCAGTTCACTATCCAGGGGTCTGCAAATGTGGCTAAGTATTATGTATTATGTTATATTAAAATCATATGGTAAATTTTTAAATATACAGTACATGATTGATGAAGATGATTTAAACTTTTGCATTATTTCCGCAGCATATATGCATCAGCCCTTATGGCGTCTCTGACGGTGGAATACTGGAGGTCATCAAAGGCTCGACGAGATGCAGAACTGTCCACTACATTTGCTCTCCTTTCTAGATCCTTCCAGCTGGTTTACAAAAATGAGGCTGTCGGTATCTTTTTACACAGCATTCACAATTTAGCACACATTAAAGACATGATAGTGTGGCAACCACATAAATGTTGGCCCTCTTACTGAAAGATTATTTTAATAAGGTTTAGATTAAATATTTTTCTTTCAGTATACACACACTCACACAGATACTTATACATATATAAAGAGCAAAAATGCTGGTATTAACACTGCTTATGATTTTGTGCTATATAAATAAAACCTGAAATTGAGTTGAATTAGAATTTGAACTTGATTTAGGGTTGAAGTTTATTTAACCATAATTGTAGATCAGGTCTTTGTGAATATTTCATACAGTAACACAACTTGTGATTGTATTCTTTATGGACTGTTGCCTAAATGGGATCTGATACAGATCATCTTATGCCCATGGCAAAAAAAAAAAAAAAAAACCTGACAAAATAGAGATATATTTTAAAACTTATTTTAATTGTTTTAATATTTGATGTTGTTTTCAATTTAATACAAAATTCATTTTGTATAATAAAAAGATTTTCAAGAACTTAGTTTACATGTTTCTGCATTATTCCAGACATTCTGTGTTATTAGGGATTTGTATACACTTATCTACAATAAAACAATAGGGTCAATGTGGCATAACTCTGTTAAATGCTCATTAGGTTTTGTTACTGGTAAGTATTAATACTTATAGATGATCAATACTAGCTTTGCTATTGCCAAATAAGTTTTCATTATCTTACATATGTCTGTAAGCCAACACTGGTCTCACACTGAGATCCTGCTCTGTTCTCCTCACAATAGAGTCAAATTACATTTCTCTGACTGCTGTTCTGTCCACAGGCTCATAATTGTATGACTGTGGTCTGTCGTTTGTGTGAATATCTCAGAATATCTTATCTCTGCATTCAAACAAGCGCACCACGATTAGTTGTCTTCGTACTGTTCGTACTGATCTCCCTGGTCCGACATCACTTCCGGTGTAGTCTGGCAATTTTTCAGATGCCGAAGAACTTTTTTTTTTTTTGACAAAAAACGACTCCAGGTGGCTTAATAATAAACTTTAATGTTAATTTAAAAAAAATAATTAAGTTCCTACTTTACTCTTACGCACATTGACTCACTGGGTGTTTAACCTACAATATGCTCTTCAACACCAAACATTTTTACATGTAACCGGCAGATTTTAGTTTGCCTTTGCAAAACTGTCTGCTTCTAAATTTGGTTTTAATTGGCTTGACAGTGTAAAAGAAGCTTGTGACCACTAGATCACAGATTTTAAACCATGCATTTCCTTGCAGAGCTCAAAACAATGTAAAAGAACTGTTGTCCTGTTTGGCCTTCCTTATTGCATGAAAGTGGACACCAAGTTCATCAAAACTTGTGAGGTATGTAAATATATTAAATACATAAATTTGGTTTAATTCTTGTTCTTTTAAAAAGATTTTCTGCTGGCTTCTTTGATACTGTCTCATTATTTTAATGTTTTTGTTTTCCCAAGGAGAGGGTGTCTAGTCTGTAAAGTTCTTTAAAATAACTGAAATAATTTTATACTATTTTAAAATGTTATGTCCTCAATTGAAAGAAGTAATTAAACATTAAAAGGATAGTTAACCTAAACATTTATATTCTTATTTATTCACACTCCAGTAGTTCTAAACTTCTATAAATATATTTTTTCTGTTGAAAAAAAGATATTCTAAAGAATGTTGGAAAATAAACAGCCATTGACTTCTATAGTAGGAACAAACATACACATGGAAGTCAGTGGCTGTTTTCTTCATCTACCTAACTTTGTGTTCAACAAAGAAAGGAAACTGGTTTGGAACATATGGAGGATGAGTAAATGACAAACTTCTTTTTGAGGTAAATTGTCACTTGAAAATCCATTTGCAACTGAGTTATTCACATACATGCTTTCAGATGTGGGCACACCTTTGCTTAAAATTGATTCATTTTTTTTAACTGAGATGCTGTGTAAATTGTGTGATTATATATATATATATATATATATATATATATATATATATATATATATATATATATATATATACATCTATATTTTTTTCTAATTCATATTTGTTTTTTGTTTTTGTTAGACAACTGATGAGGAAAGCCTCATTCACACTACAAGCAACTCACAGCGGCAACGCGACAAGCAACCATTCATTTCAACGGAGAGCAAGGTACTTCTGGCGACCTCCATCTACGCGAGCGACAGCAACCGTTGACGACAAGGTGGGCGTGTCGAGCGTCATGATAACGTTGAGAATGCTTCAACTTTCTTAAGCAACAGCCAATAGGAGCACCAGTAGAGCTCACATGATCCTCTCTCATCTCGCTCAGAGGCTAATTGTATTCATGCTGTGTAGACCTACTCAGACCTGCGTTTGAAGCAGGTCGCCAACCAAAGCAACAGGCATCTACGAAGTTGCTGCTATTCTGAATAAGGCAGAAGAGGCAGTGAAAGGAATAAATGTTGAACTATTGATAGCCATAGAGGAGAACACCTCAAAACTTTTTCCAAGAGAAATAATGCATGTGGCTGTGGTGTGAGAGGAAGAGGTTGTACGGTGGCCTGAGGGATGTCAGATGTCTTTGCTGTGCTAATAGGGATTCTTCTTGCCCTGAATATCACTTATCTCAAGGAAGTAAATATACATTTGACATCCCCCTAAAAGATCCTGAGAATTGGTGGTGAAGCATGCTCTGCAAAAGTATATAGAGTAAGAATCAAACTCTTAAGTGTTTTGTGGATTTTGCTCACCCATGCTCAAACTTACTGATAATCATGTTGTTCATTTAACTTCAAGGACTAAACCTCAATCAAATGTATCGAGTTGCTTACCCTTAATGAAAAGGGAAACATTTGTTGGATAAGCAACGTCATTGTAAGTGATTTTTTTATGATTCTCACATTACACTTCATATTACACCACAGCAGACATTCTGTTACAGACATTATGTAACACAGTATATCAACTCTGTCTGCTACAATTGCAGTTTAACAAAAATTCAACAAGTCAGAAATCTCAAGAAACACTAAAATGCATTTCTCAAACAGCATTAAAATGAACCTTTTGAAATGTTTCTTCCTCTATTCAACATTTTAAAGGCCTACAACAATTCATAACATGTTATAATGAAAAGTGTGTTTACAACTGTTCTGCAACATATTCAGATAAACATTCTGTTACAGACATTCTATACAAACTCAGGTTGTGTTAAACTGCAAATCTAGACTGAGTGCAAAACGCGCCAAAGCCCGAAACTGAAAGCGAGACGTGACTTTTAAGGGGACTGTTTCATATGGATTTATTAATCATTCTTACTGTTCAGTGATCGCAAATCACTGAACGCAAAGTGATCTGCCGTAGTTTATTAAAGACGCAAACCCCTCACTGCACATCAGCTGCGCGGCTTCAGCAGACCTCCTCATTCCTGCAGCATGAGAGCTTTATGATTGTTTATGAGCGCCAAAAGTGGCGGATCTGTTCGGCGAAATATCTGACTGCGTGTCATCGCATCCCTAAGGACTGTTTGGCGAAATATTTGACTGCATGTCAATGCATAACAAACGACTGAAAGGATATAACTAGAGAAATCTCCACTGTGCTACTGGGTGAGAGCATATGGCAAGCGGTTTTAGCATTTAAACCTTGTTCTGACTATCCATAAATATATTTAGATATATCTCTAATTATGTTTTGACTAGTCATAATTATAATTCGACTAGTCAGATTGGAGATATCTGCAAATATATTATGACTGATTAGTCATATTCCTCCATTGACTTCAATTGAAAAATATTTGCAGATATCTCTAAATAAGTTTTGACTAGTCACAATTGTAATTAGAGATATCTCCAAATGAATTTTGACTAGTCAAAAATCCAATTCAAGATATCTACAACTGTAATTCGACTATTAGTACATTAATTAGAGATATCTTCAAATATATTTGTAAATATCTCCAAATATGACAAATTAAAGATATCTCCAAATGTATTATGACTAGTAAAAACTCAGTTAGAGATATCTCTAATTACAATTGTGACTAATCAAAACTCATTTAGAGATATCTGCAAATATTTTTCAATGGAAGTCAATGGAGAAATATGACTAGTCATAATATATTTGCAGATATCTCCAATCTGACTTCGTAATAGTACAATTGTAATTGCAGATATCTCTAATTGCCATTCTGAGTAGTGGAATTATAATTATGACTAGTCAAAATATAATTAGAGATATCTCTAAATATATTTATGGAGTCAGAACAAAGATTTAAATGCTAAAAAGGCTTGCCATAGAGAGCGCTTCTCACAGAACAGCGCAGCAGCGATGACGTAAGCGTGCCGAGGCCCGATATGGTGTGAGTGCGGGCCGTCGGGGGAGACGGGAGGGGGGACAAGCGTGCTTTGGCCCGGTTCGAGGCAACTGTACCTAGTGTGAGTACGGCCTTACTCTGTGAACTTTTACAGAGCAGAATATCAGTTTCAGTATGGGAGAACAAAATCAGTTGTAAACACACTTTTCATTATAAAATGTTATGAATAGTTTGAAGCCTTTAAAATGTTGAATAGATGAAGAAACATTTCAAAGGCCTAATTTTAATGCTGTTTGAGAAATTATTTATAACTAATTGAATTATGACTTTTGGCATGATTTTTTTTCAGATGTGTTTCCTGTTGCTTCAAAGAGTTTTAATATGAATTTATTGAATTGATAACTTTACGTCTACTTGAATGAAAATGTTTTCTTGAAGTTATAATAAATGTTATTACAGTTTATTTGTGCTGACGTTCTGTTTCTTTTAAAATGCATTTGTCATGTTAACTTGTGTTGAATTCATTGAACACTTAATTGTAAATCAACTGTGTAAACTTTGTTAATTGTTACAACAAGCTTAATTTAGTTCATTTAACTCATAATTGTAAGTCAATTGTGCAAATGTCTTAGTTAGTTGTAACAACAAACTTTATTTAGTTGATTTAACTCATAATTTTAAGGCAACCAGGTAACTTTTTCAGGTTTTTGTTTCAACAAACAATTTTTAGTTGAGTTGACAAATCGTTTGTTGATATAACTTGGAATGAGGTTGTATCAACTTCTTTAAGCAATCAAATGGATTAAGTTGTTTAAAAAAAGTTAGTTCACTCAACAATTTTACACTGAAGTTGAGTGTACTTACATTTGTAAGTCAACTTAAACTGCTTGAAGAAGTTGATACAACACAAAATAGTTAGTTGTACACAAAAATTAGTTGAAACAACAAAATCACTCAAGTTATTATAACTCACATTTATAATTACAATGAACTCACAATTTTAAGGCAACCGGGTAACTCACTTTTTTAAGTCAAAACAACAAATCATTTTTTACAGTGTACCCTCTCCTCCCTCCCTCCTTATGAGGGGCAAGGAAAGGCGCAGCAGAGGATGCCTCTGTATCCTGTACAAGAATTAGAGTCGTTTCGCACAGAGAAACCAGACCAATGGGATAATCAAGCTTTCCTATGGGTCTCAAAGAAAGGGGGACATGCCAAAGTAAAGACTTGTCACACGTGACCATCTGTAAGCAGAAAAAGAAAGAGACAGTTTCTGCCTTCCTCCAGCGTTTTTCCAACGTCTGAATACATCTGGGAGGATTTGATCTCCCTGAAAGGCAGCCAGAACCACTGTTTATTTCCACTTTTAAGATACTTAAATTTCAATTATCTGATCGATCTCAAATGGCTCCAGCACAGCTCAAGCAGAGGATTCGAATGATGACTGGCGATGGTCTGTTCGATCAAATTCAGAATGTAGCCCTCTTACAAATGGGGGGTGCGCAGCCATACCTTCATAACTGATTTAATAACGGCCTGCCATCTTCCCTCGCGACTCGCCATTGTTAAGATTCAAGGCCATTCGAAGGAACACACTGATGAAGCCAAAGGAAACGCTCTGGCTGACCGACATGCTAAATTAGCAGCACAATAGCCTTTGCCTGAGGACTCTATGCACGTTTCCTTGTTCTCTACAACCTCGGCTTCAGGGATGCTCCCTGACATTGATTTGGCTATGTTACAAGCATCAGCCACTGACGAGGATAAGTCCTTCTGGGATGCCTTTTCTTCCACGTTTGATGAAAAGATGGGTCTATGGCATGACAACATGGGTCGCCTATGTGTCCCACATGTGGCACTTTCATTTCTCGTCCACAAATTTCATAGTGTCACTCATCGTGGACGAAGAGGGGTACACAAAACAATGCGATCTTTGTTTTGTGTCCCAAAACTAAAAACCACCATTAATAACATACTCGACAAATGTCTTATATGCGCCCAATATAATGTATCAAAGCCTGTGGCACAGCACCAACATTTACCAAGACCAATCACACCTTTTTCTGAATGGCAAGTAGATTTCACGCATATGGCAAGGAGGGGACAGTTTAAGTATCTACTGGTTTGCGTGGATAAATTTTCAAAATGGGTATAGAAGCTTTTCCCTGCTCAAGGGAAAATGCACAAGTGGTAACACAGAAATTGACCTCTAAAATTATACCTAGATATGGGATCACACAAAGCATCGATTCAGAAAAAGGAACACCTTTTACATCAAAGGTGACACAACAATTGGCAACTGAATTAAATTTAAATTGGCGTTTCCACATACCCTATCATCCACAATCATCTGGATTTGTGGAGCAAACTAACAGAACATTGAAAGGAAAGATAAAGAAGGCCTTAAGACAACACGGTCATAAAGATTGGGTAAAAATTTTACAGAAAGTACTAGCAGATTTGAGAATGACACCACAAGCAAAAATCTTTATCACCATATGAGGTGGTCATGGGAAGACCTCTCCCTATCCCATGGCAAGGGGGAATTATGGGAGTGGGTATTGAGCTTTCTAACCACGTGTCAGAATTCTTAGCGGCCCTAATTCAGAAACACAATCAGTATTGGGAAAGGGTAACAAAGAAACACCCTGAAATTCCAATTGAGGCAGCACACCCTTTCCAGATAGGGGACAAGGTGCTAATAAAAGATTTAAAACCCCAGAAAGATTTAACTGACCCCAAATACGAAGGGCCAGCTGAGGTTCTGGCTGTTACACGCACTGCTGTATTAACTGATCTTTTTCCACAGTGGATCCATGGCACCAGAGTGAAACCATTAAGGTAAATGTCTATGATATGATATTAATCGTTTTTGTTTTGCAGACTACTTCTACTGGTAACCCTATTGGGATTGACACAGGCCCACACTGAAGTACACAACTTATTCTGGCAGTATGCCAACTGGACTGCATGACAGACAACCATTGAGTCATGTGTTGTCTGCCAAGAAGTGTTCTCCTCTGCTGTGCTGCTGTGACTATATCCTTGAAACCTTTGCCTTTTACATGTACTAAACTTGCTTTTTGTACAAATGCTTTGGGAGATATTTATGAGTGGCGCCCCACATGTGTTTCCAACAAAAAAACATGGAAGCCCCTTTGCAGATCAATTAGCAGAAAGAATCATACTGTTGTAATACCTACACCTAGAACTATGGGTTTGAATATTTTGTTGACGAAACCCCAGGGGTTCACTTTTTCTTTTTACTTTAATGGGACAAATGGTGGTAATGTATCCACCTTAAGAGCTAAAGATTGTAATATAGTAATTGGCGAAAGGGATCGATTTTCGGGGGTATATTTACTGTGGCGAAAGAATAAAAAATATAGTTCTCTGCTAAGTATTTGTCCCCGTTACATCCCAGGCACCTGTGAACTGAACAAACTTAAATGTGCTAATGTCACAACTGATACAGCTGTCACGGCATGTTACGGCCTGAACAACACATACTGTCAACACAGCAATGTAACTTGTGTCCCCACTTTGCCGAGACAGGATGCGGTCCTGGCCGATGACTGGTACTGGTATTGTGGGGAAGAAACCATCTTAAACACTTACACCACCAATTGGACTGGTCTTTGTACTGTGATCCAATTACAACACATGGTCACTGTCATGCATCTTGCCAGACAATCCGGAAGGGAACGAAGGTCAGTTCCCCAGGACAACGTACCCGACGAACACCATATGAGATTACAGTGGACTAGATTCTGGGAGGCTATGATTCCCAGTTTTGGCGTGGCAGATGCCTTAAAACAGCAAGAGATTATGCAATATAGACTGACCTCTTTTATTAACAGTAGCATGGATGCCATTACTGGACCAGCTGTAAAGAAGATGAAAAGGATATCATCACAGGTTTATGAGGATGAGATGAAGGAAAGAAATAATAATTGGGGATGGGGATTTTTAGAAAGCCTGTTTGGATCATTGGCTCCATTTGTCTCAATGGTAGTACCGGTACTTATTATTTTCTTATGTGTATGTATTTTTGGTCCATGTCTTCTGAGATGTTTTTAGAATATGGTATGATCCAGGCTCTTGTAAAAAAAAACAGAGCCTGGAAGAGGGGATTGAAAGAATTATGCATGTACTCACTCTTCAAATATTCTGTTGTTTTCTAACTGTTTCTTATCTTGTTTTAAGTTTTCCCTGTACTAGGCGCCTTGACGTTGCGCCTTGACATTTTTGAGCACTGGATGAAATTGTTCTGCTTAACTGAGCTGAATATTTGCACATATTCAGAGCCCATGTAACCTTGAGTATGATGTATAAAAGCTGGGAATGCCCCAGTCTTCTACAGAAGAGAGCAATAAACTGTTGGATTCACATATCAGTTTTTGTTGTCTTCCTGGAGCTCCTGCTTACTGAGGAAACACACAGACGATTTGCAATGTATACCAACAGAACCGCTGGTGTAGAATGCAGAGTTTCTCACTTGTAAATATTCATAGTTCAGAAAATTCACAGCCTTATCACCCTGCAGCCCAAGAGCAGTTACTTACTGAAGCTAAGCAGGGCTGAACCTGGTCAGAACCTGGATGGGAGACCACATGGGAAAACTAGGTTCCTGTTGGAAATGGTGTTAGTGAGGCCAGCAGTGTGTGCGTTCTAATGCCCCAGTATAGAGAAAGGGTCTTTAGGATGAAACGTTAAACCGAGGTCTTGACTCTAAGTGGTTATTAAAAATCCCATGACACTTCTTGTAAAGAGTAGGGGTGTAACCACTGTGTCCTGGCCAAATTCCCTGCATCGGCCCTTACCTATCACGGCCTCCCAATCATCCGCATCTACCGAATTAGCTCTATCACTGTCTCTCCACTCCACCAATAGCTGGCACCGTTGTCCTGTGCCTGCCATCGCATCATCCAAATGTATGCTGCACACTGGTGGAGGTGAGGAGAGACCCCCCTCATGATTGTGAAGCTCTTTGGGTGTATGGTCATACACAATAAATGTGCAATATAAATACACATTCCTTACTACTTACTATGTCCAATCCAGCTCCTGGAGGACCACAATATTCTTTTTTTAGCTTCTTTCATAATAAAATACACCTGTACTAGTTAATCATGGTCTTACTAGGCTTAATGCAAACTCCAATTCTAATTCAGCAAATAAATGGACAAAAACATGACAAACACAACAGTTCAATTGACACAATTTTATTTCAATTCAACAATACATTTTTGGCAGCAACACCGCAAGACGCAAATATTGCTGCCTCAAGCTCTGACACCAGACATTAGCAAGAAGCAAAGGATTGGAGAGGTGGTGAGGCCACTGGTGTTAGCATGCCTGGCTAATAAGCTCTTCCTGCATGACCAGGACCGGGCGCTCATCCTCCATGTCTGATGGTGAGATCTAAAGCAAAAACAAAAACACAATCAGGTTTATTGTCCCCAAAAAACTGACATTTTGAAAAGTTTTATAGATCATAGGTACCGTAAACCAGTCGTGGAGGAGGATCTGCTCCAGTTGTATCCTCTCGCTGGGATCGGGATGCAGACAGGCATTTATGAGATGACTGCATTCTGAAAGACAGGATTAATGTTTGACCATTACTTTAAACATCCTTTACATCTCCTGATGGCATTTTGGACAGCTGAGCCAAGTGGCTTTGTAAGACACTTTTTTGTATGATTGTTACAATTTTTTCAAGCTCTTACCACAGGACAAGGACGGCAGATACCACAGCCAGTGCTGCATCTTTTCCCGATCCGTGTAGTCTGGCATATATCCACACACCATAGTGTATAGCAGCACTCCAAGCGAATACACGGTTGCTGGCCGTGCTAAGTATTTGCCCGTTTCGAAAAACTCTGGAGGGCAGTACATCTCTGTGCCTGGAGGAAAGAGATTTGCATGTCTGAGTTACAACAGTTTGTTTTTACTGTATTCAGCAGCTTGTGTGTCATGACACTAAAGTTTTAATACTGTACATACCACTAAAAGTGTGGTACTCTGTTTCATGGAACAGGTTTCCACAACCGAAGTCAATCAGTGTGACATCCATGGTGTGTGTGTTGATGATCAAGTTCTCCAATTTTATATCTCTGTGGAATACTCCGCGCCGGCAGCAGGTCTCAGCTGCCTCGATAACCTGGCGCATCACATACCGAGCAAACCTTTCTTCAAAGATGTTGCCACAGCTCTCCAACAGCTTGAACACACTCAGGCATGGTGAAGGGCGCTGCAGGACCATTATATAATGGTCTGGAAAGTCCTGCCAATCCAGCAGCTCGATTATGTTGGGTGAGCTGGGACCCTTGTTTGCCATAAGTGTGAGGCCGATTTCAAGTGGTACAAGTTCTGGAAGGCCAGGCTAGTGGAAAGAGTTTTTAGGAGGGTTAAATTAAGGTGGTTTGCACAACATGTTTATAATTTGTTTATTGAGAGATAGTTTGCTGTCTATGATCAACAATGTTGAAAAAAAAAACAGAGTTAGAGGAGATGAGTCTACTTACAACGTAGAGATATTCCATGCCCTCCATTTTTTTGGCAAACTTGATTGCCACCTGATCAACAAAACAGAATATAACAGTTAGCACTGGATTACATCAGACCATTCAATAATCCTTGTTGAAATTCTAGTCATGAATTTGTAGCATGTTTGGTCAAGTTGACCATTTATCAAGCGCTCTAATTGTGTTACAAAAGACAAAGCATAACACATAAATATAGTTTGTTAGGTTGATCATGCAAAAATATATGTAAATTTACCGGAAGATCATCATGGGCACGGACACCAGCATATACGGCACCAAATCCTCCTTCTCCCAGTAGCTCACCCATGTTGTAGGTCCAGCACATGCCTGTTCAAATATAATTAGTTTTAGAGACAGATTCATATTCTACAATGCAAAAGTAAAACTTTATTACCACTTTATACACCATTACGTCACTAATACATAATGCAGAAACATCTAATCCTTTCAAAAAGTGAAAGCATCAAGCAGCCATAATCAATATGAACTTACTCCCAATAATCAAGACCATGTCTTGGCTTGGGTTTTCTGCCAGAGGACACACAGTTTCTTCCTCTGACAGATCATCTGGAAACTCCTGGATTTGCTCGTCAACAGTGAAGAGAGGAATCTCAAAACTACTGTTGGGAGTGTTCTGAGGACCATAACTCTCTACAGAAGATATGGTCTCCACTGAAGTTGGATCTGGAAAATATAACAATTATATATAAACAATCAAACATTTCAATACTGCTACAAATAATACATTTATAGTATTTACAAAGACAAAACTGAAGAGTTCAGATACACAAACATCTGCACATCTGAACATTTGAACTCTGCAAATGTTTAAAGCTATGATGATCTTCTTTAATGATTAAGTTCAGTAAACACAAAAGATGAAGAGATTTACCATCAGTAGACATTTCTTCCTCCAGCTCCACATTCTCACACTGTTCCTGTATTTGCAGGTCAATGATGGAGGAAGGAACCTCAAGGCTGTTAGGAGCTTGCTGGGATTCATGATGCTCAACAGGGCTTGAGATGTTTCCTAATGAGGTTTGATCTAAAGAGGGGAACATACATTCAACATTTACTTTAATAAAAACACACATAAACGTTTCAATCCTTTTACAAATACATATATTTGCAGAGACAATATTTTAAAGCTATGGGGATCATTTTTATTCATTTTTTTTCCAGTCACAGAAAAAATAAAGGGATTTACCATCAGTAGAAGGTTCTGCTTCGGTGACTGGCTTCACCTTCTCACTGTCCACCTGCTCCACCTTTTCACCCCTTCCAGTTCTTGGGCGTGAAAAGCGGAACAGCTTTCTCCAAAAACTCAATTTTTTCTTCACTTTCTTTTTCTCCGTCACCCCACTCCCTCCATCTTCCTCACAAGGAACAACACGGCTCTCATCAAGCTGATGGTTTTCTTGACGAGGCGTGTCATTATTTAACTGAAGTGGTGTACTAGGATGTAAACTGTACACACACTCCGACTCTGTCGCTATATTCAGACAAGAAATTCGCTGACCCATGATAAAACAAACGCACTGTCTCACTCCAAACTACCCACTAAAACTAAATTACACCGTCAAGCCTTAACATTCCACTTTGACGTTCTAATTATGACATCAAATAAAATGTCCTTGAGATCAATTTGTTTTGTTTTAAAATTTGCCGGACTACATATTGCATACATAATACCTGACAATTCTTATAGTAAATCCTAAAATAAAGCTACAATAAATATTAAATCATATTATAAATGTAAATCTACTTGTTTTAATACTTGTTCAAACACTTATATAATTGTTTAATTCCGTACTTCTGCAGTATAATGCTGCGTCGCTAATACCTTCTTATTGGTTGTATTCTCTTTCTCAACCACTTGAGGGCGGCAAATATCATGGTATCTGAACAGAACTGATAGTCCACATTACTTCATGATGTAAGTGGGAGTAGTCTACTTGAAGAGTTTTATTTCTTTTTGTATGTATATTTAAATGTAAGGAATTGAAGTCAGAAATGAATTAGAGTAAAAATGTGTGGATGGCATTTTAAAACAATAATCTGACTGAATCTACTAAACCTAGTAGAGGAAACATGCTATTTTCTGTTTTTCCTTTTAGCTTAGAGAACCTGTGTTTTCCAGAAAACAAATTTAATTAAATACAATAGATTTCCAAATGTTTGTTTAAAATATGAAGGTCAGCCTGGTTTTGATCCAACTTGTGATGGGTGTCAACAAGCTCCAGCCACTCTTTCTGACATACTTTCTGGCTTTTTTTTTAGCACTAAGCACTTTTTGGGCATCAATTTTTAAATCAATTTCTGAATGTTTTCTTTTAGATATCAAACCACGCACCCTAGTAGCATTATTTAGATGTAAACCTACAAATGTTTTCTTGCCATCTTCACAGTCAAATGCACTTGCTATCTGTTTAATAATTGCTAAAAGGCATATAACACTGAACTGGAAAAGTCCTCCTCCGCCCAGTTATGTGCATTGGATGCATGATCTGATGCAGTCTATTCAAATAGAAAAGATTAGGTATACAGATTGCAGTATTAGAAAAATAATTACACTATTTGGCAACCCTTCCTCTCGAATTTTCCTGTTAAAAATGGAAAGCACAGACAAAATATACATGTTTATATATTTGTTTTTTTTTTTCTTTTTAAAATTAATTAATTAATTTTTTTACTGCTGTACCGTTATCATATTTGTATATTTTGCTATATGGCCTAACATGTGTTACTTTTATCCATAATGTTATTTAAGAGATAGAGAGATAGAACACTCACTGGCCACTTTATTAGGCACACTTGTCAAACTGTTCGTTAACACAAATTTTTAATCAGCCAATCATAGGGCACCCACTCAATGCATTTAGGCATGTAGACATGGTCAAGACGATCTACTGCAGTTCAAACCGAGCATCAGAATGGGAAAGAAAGGTGATTTAAGTGACTTTGAATGTGGCATGTTTGTTGTTGCCAGAAGGGCTGGTCTGGGTATTTCAGAAACTGCTGGTCTACTGGGATTTTCATTCACAACTATCTCTAGGGAATAGTCCGAAAAAGAGAAAATATCCAGTGAGTCCAGTTCTTATACAATCCTCATAACAATCAAGGTATGCAGAAGAGCATCTCTAAACGCACAACATGTCCAACTTTAAGGTAGTTGGGCTACAGCAGCAGAAGATCACATCGGGTGCCACTCCTGTCAGCTAAGAACAGGAAACTGAGGCTACAATTCACAGAGGCTCACCAAAATAGGACAATAGAAGATTGGAAAAACAGGGTCGGGTCTATTGAGTCTCTCATAATTTCTGCTACAACATTCCAGTGGTAGGGTCAGAATTTAGTATCAACAACATTAAAGCATGGATTCATCCTGCCTTGTATCAACGGTTGAGGCTGCTGGTGGTGGTGTAATGGTGTGGTGGATATTTTCATTACTTTTATTAAAATAAACAAAATTTTAACTGGATGTTATGCATGTTCAGAACAGTGTTTTTTTACATTCAGCTGATACACAGATGCTCCTTCAGATATGTTTCTTGTAATATCGCATTGAACTTTTTAAACTTAGAAATATTTTTTTTCCTCAAAAGTTTACAGATTTAAATAAAATAAAATTAAATTAATTGGGTACTTTTTATACTTTTAATAGAAGGAAATGCTAAAGCTCAGACATCTAAACAAGCTGAAACTAAATACAGCTCTTCATTAGTAACCCTTTACACAGACAAATGAAGATGCCAGCAGATGCTGGAATAAGCATCTACACGAGCAAAACCACAGATAAATCATAGTTTGGAAGGAATTTGGTCAAATACTTACTGCGCTTCAGCCTCATAAATTGATGTTGCTAATGAATAGAAGTGTTTATAGAGATATTTGAAACGACACATCCCTGTAATGATTTCATTTTTAAGAGAATGCAAATAAGGCACCCGGTAAATAGATGAAAAAATGGTATGCAATTATTTGGCTACGATGAGAGAATGTGGGCTCAACACAAACCCAACCATCAACGTTGATCAATGGTCCTGTTCTCTCTGCGTTGGAATAATAGCATTCGTTTAGCTTATTCATCTCCTCTTGAGCGTGTGTTTGTGTGCAGTGGAGGATGGTGGGCTTTAAACGATGATGGATACAGAGAGGCTGGCAGAAATGGGAGCTGCTTCCTTCATTTAATTACTGTGTCAAACCGAATTACCTTAGAAATCAGAAAACATGACCACTACGCCACAGATTTATTCATACTTGCTGGACTTTCTGCTTTTCCTCACAGTTTGATGCATTTGTTTAGTTATTTGTTGGCATGTGGTGTATTCTAACATTTATTTAGCATCACTTTTTTTGGTGGATGATGTTGTTTCAACAACTCTTGTATCGCTGTGTAAAGACTGATACAGCATTGTAAAATGAGCAAGATAAAGGTGGTTTTACTTATCCCTTTCAGCTGTCTCAATGGTCCGCAGTGAATATTTATAACTATCAGGTTTTTTTTATGTAACCATTTTACTTTAATTAGATAGGACTTTAATGTAAATACTAATGTATATGAATGAATCCATGGATGTGTCCGTAAGTTTGGCAACTGATTGTTTCCTTGCTGCCCAAAAACATAGTGACTCTGAATGCAGTGTTTGTTCACCCCTCAAAATTGACTTCAGACAGACATTTTTTTTTTTCCCCAACTTTATGTTTTCCAACTCAGCATGATTCACAAATAGAATTACAGGTAAAAAAAAACTAAATGATAAAATTTCTATACAAAATACAGCAACACCTGAATGAATTTTAAAATAGCAAATAAAAAAATGTAAAATAAAAAAAACACAACATGGTCTTTCAAACATATATGCACAATAAAATCACAGGTTTAAGTAGATAGATACAATTCAATTCAAAATGTTGTCAATTATTAATCTACACCTAAAGTGGGAAGTAAGGCAAGATTTTTCTTTCTTAAATAATCGAGAAGAGGACTTCACATTTTAAAGAAGTCGTCACTAGCAGGTCCTTTTATTGTGTGTCTGATTTTCTCTAATTTAATAAAATGAAAAATGTCTTTAATCTAAAAAACAATGAGTCAGACAGACTTCTGAGGGGCCTTTACTTGACAACATTTTTAGCCAAAAATGTGAACTTTTTATTTGTGTTGCCTATTCAATTGCATTATAATGGTGTTTTGAGGATGGAAACGGGTTTCAAGGTGGACATTTTTACAAATGCAGTAATGCTTACTTTCCATGTAAACAGCCAAAATGGGAGTCTTTGAAAATGGTGACAACATGCATATTTTAGAAATGGGCCGGTACAAGATTCCGACTGTAGGATAACCTTGGATAAAAATATCACAGTTTCGTGGTATTGTGATTACTGCTCTGAAGTATGTTCTTTTTAAATGTCTGGGCAAAAAAATAAAACTTTTTTCCCCTTTGAACACAATATATTTTATGTTGGAACAGTAAACATGTCAGACTAAATAACTCAAATGAATCACTAACTTTTGCTGGCTCCATTAGTTTAAAAAAGACTGGTTTCTTTACTATTTAAAACAGCATATGTGGACATGTTTTTTCTGGAGATATTGTTTTCCAAAAAACAAACAAACAAACAAACAAACAAACAAAAAACTTTAAAAATAAAAATAAAAATCTTATATATATACTGTAGGAACGGTATAGAAGAAAGTATTGGCCGTTTTAAAACCTGGACTTTTCCAATCCACGGTATACCTTAAAAACGGTTATCATGATATGCCTAGCACATTCATAGTACAGGTAGACATGCACAGCACATGTCAATTTTAATGAGAAGTGTGATCAAGCCCCAAACATACACAACAGTGGCGAGGTAAATGGTAGCATTATTGCTGGTCAAGAGTTTGCTAATTGCTTCTTCAGCAAAATGTAGATTTACTTCACCAATATTACAACAACCAGCAGAGACGCATCAAATACACACAAATTCTAAATACACACCAGCACAGAAATGCAGAGGGCACATCATCAGTTCCTTACAGATACAATTTATATGCAAGTTAAAGTTAAAGATCCACATACTGGCTTGGCATACATATACAGTACAGTGTTTTGGGTTGTCTTCGTAAATATGTGTAAATGAGGATGATTTTAAAAAGACTGCTGTGCATGTAACTTTTTAAAAACGCAATGGAAAAACTTTTCAGTTTTGGCTACATTGTTGCATTGTAAACATATAGCCAGAGACTGTGTAACCATTTAATCATGTAGAACAAAATAGATAGCACTTTAATGATAACTAGGGAAACATTTGCTCACTACAATGCTAAATTCTCACTATAACTGCCATCAAATGTAGAAAACATTGGTCATTTGAGCACAATAGGTCATTTGGGCACAAACAATGACATCCAAATATATTTCAGATGGCATCTTTATTTGTTTAGCTCAAATGTCAGAAATGTAACACACAGAATTCTGGGATATCAAAGGGAATTAAGGACACATCTATTATGTTTTTGAAACTTATGTTTTGA